GACTCTGCCAGAGGTGGTGAGGAATGATGCAGTAGTTGTGGCAAGATGCTGCAGGACAGCTAAGGAGGTTTAAAAATCTGTTGGTTGGCTGAGTTCAGAGGGTTGGGCTTTCTAGATCTTCAAGTCCCTGAGGCTTCAAGAGACCAAACCTCCAGCTTTCCTGAAGGAAGTGCAGATGGAGTCTGTGCCTCTTGGGCTGTGTCTGGGGACTCCCAGAATGGCAAGTCTGAAAGCCTGAAGTTTATAACTTCTGACACCAGGAGGAAGGCTCCTGCTCCACCTCATGATCTGCAAGTAGGGAACAAATTCAGTACTTTTATAGGTGACGAGGGTCTTGCTCCATCTTTAATAATGCCACCAACATTTGAAGACAGAAGTGTCTCCATTTATGCTATTTTCAATTATTGTACAGTGCCTTACCAGTCTAGTTAATCCGAGCCATGAAGGAGCACCAGGAGAAAGTGGCAAGGGATAATAGTAGGAAAATTCCCTGTTGCAGGGAGTGGAGACTCCCATCTGCTGACCTGACCTGTCATCTAGAGAGGCTTGTTGCTTGCCAGGAGCTTGGATCTGGAACACTGTGGCAAGACTGCCAAGGCTTGTCTGGCCTTCAGATTACTATTCCGTGCTGCACTCCCATGTAGGCTTCAATGATACTGCCTGTAGTGATCTGGAAAGTATCAGTTGTGACTGTATGGCTCTGGGGTGACAACCAAGGGTGTGGGAGCCTGGGTGGATTTCTCCTTGATGCTTTGGGTGAGAGTGAAAGGTGTGAGCATGAGTGGACAGATCCTGTGGGTAACAGCTCGTTGCATAGTTGGTGTCAACAACAGAATTCTGCTTTTATTATTGTAAGACTCTGGCTTGGAAAAGATGGGATTCACCTGACTAGGGCAAAAGTATCTTTGCTAACTATCTTATGAGCAATTGGTGGACCAATGTGTGGGGGTACAAACAGTGGGGACCTTCTAATCAAAAAAGTCAGGACTGAAGGGGGCCCTTTTCAAGCATATCTGTATAGACAAGGATGTGCCTTTCAGAATTACCTGCTGCTCTTTTCTGGGAGGTCAGCATGGCTGGTTGCCTCTCTGAAAAGTCTGTATTCTCATTCATATAGCATGGGATGCAAAGAAGAGGAATTACATGTCTTCATGCAGTTGCAGGGTTATGATGAGGCCTTCTTCAGACAACTGGAATCTGGCTCATGTTGGCAGGACCTGGCCCTCATAGAGGATTTTAATCACCCTGATATCTACTGGAGGGATAGAGAAGTTTGTTTGTGGACTGGGTTGGGTGTGAGTAATACAGGAGGTTTCTGGAGTGTGTTGTCTGCTTGATCTCATACTTGCAGAAGAAGAACTGTTTATTGTTCTGAAGGCTGAGAACAGCCTTGGCTCCACTGACTACGAGATGATAAAAGCTCAGGATCCAGAAAGGAGGAGGGAAAAGGCAGAAAGCAGGATTTCAACCCTGGACTTGAAGAGGGAAGACTTTGGCCTGTTCAAGGCTCTGAAACCAGTGGGAATGTCCAGGGCAAGGTAAACCTTCCCTCAGTGGAAGAGAATCAGGTTCGGTAATATTTAAACAAACTAGTCATGTGCAAGGCTGTGGCCCTGGTGTGGTACCTGCTGAGGGAGCTAACTCATAGTGGGAGGCCCCTCTTGATAGTGACTAGAAAAGTCACTCTGGTTAGGAGATTTTCCTTAAGACTTGAAGAAAGCAAATGTACCTCCTGTCTTCAGGAAGAACAAGAAGTCTCTTTTTTTTTTTTGTCGAGAACTACAGACTGGTCAGCCCCATGTGAACCACTGACAGATGATGAAGAAAATAATCCCGGAAGCCATTTCCAAACATATGAAGGACAAGAAACTGGTTGGCAGTAGTCAGCATAGGTTTATGAAAGGGAAGTCGTGTCTGAACAATCTGTTGCTTTTCTGCGGTGAAATCACTGACTCACTGTTTACTTTGACTTCAGCAAAGTATTTGACACTGCCTCTCATATCTTAACAGACTGATGAGGTACAGACCAGGTAAGTGGACAGTGAGGTGGACTGAAAACTGACTGTGATCAGCAGCACTGGCAGTGTTCCACAGGGAGGGGACAATGGGGCTGCTGCTTCTCAGTCTTCAGGAATGACCTGGATGACAGGGTAGAGAGGACTCTGAGCAAGTTGGCAGGTAATGCAAAAGTGGGAAGTGTTTGAGTCCCCAGAGGATTGTGCTGCCATTCTTAGAGACCTGAACAGGCTGGAGAGATGGGCTGCCAGGACCCTCATGAGCAGAGGCAGCGGTAAGTCCTGCAGCTGGAGAGGAATGATCCCAGGCAGCAGTACAGGCTGTGTCTGAGTGTCTGGAAAGCAGCTTTGTGGAGAAGGACCCAGGGATCCTGGTGGACAATAAGTAGATGATGAACCAAGAACTGGTGCTCATGGCAAGGGCAGGTCCTCACTGCCTGGGCTGCATTAGGCTGAGTGTTGTGAGGAGGTGAGGCACATGTGGAGTGCTGTGTCCAGTTGTGGGTCCTCCAATACAAGAGAGAGATGGAGATAGTGGAGTGAGTCCTGTGAAGAGCTGTGAAGGTGCTTGAGGGATTGGACAAGCATGTGACATCTGAGGAGAGTGTGAGAGAGATGGGACTGTTCAGCCTGGAGAAGAGAAGGCTCAGGGTGATTTTATTGATGTGTCTGAAAACATTTTTAATCTTAAGGGTGATTGAACACTGGAATTTCCTTCCTTTGAGATACTCAAAATCTGGCTGCATAAGGCCCTGAGCAATCTGTACTTTAGCTGTCTCTGCTTTGAATAAGGAGGTTTGGTCTACAGAGGTGCCTTCCAACCTCAGATGTTTCACAGAATATTCTGAGTTGAAAGGGACCCACAAGGATCATCAAGTCCAGGTCTAAAGTGAATGGCCCGTACAGGGATCAAACCCATAACCTTGGTGTTATTAGCACCATGCTGTAACCAGCTGAGCTGATCTCAGGCTTACATTGTGTGATTTAGGTAGTGGTTAGTGGTTTGTACTCTACTTGCAAGCTGATAATAAATGAAGTACCACCAGGGGCTGTCCTGGGACTTGCTGTGTTTAACATCTTTATCAATGGCTGGAGAAGGAGTGCATTCTCCCCAAGTCTGTGGTTGATACCAAATTGGTGGAACAGTTCATGTGCTAAAGAGCAGAGAGACCTGAGGCTAGAGGAACTCCAGGTGTCTGTCTTGGAGAAGAGAAAACGAGAGGTCTGAATAGCACCCTGACAGTGCCTAGAAGTAGATGGAGTGAGTGCACAGCAGTGCATGGTGGGGCAACAAGACCAAAGGATGAAAACTGGTACAAGAATGGTTCCAGTGGAACCATTCTCTCCATAGAGAGAAAACCTTTTTCCCAGTCAAACAATGGAGCAGATTCCCCTATGTGCCTTACCTACCTCTGTCCTTGGAGGTTTTCAAGACCGATGTGGACAAAGCCCTGAGTAAGCTGGTTTGACCTCAGAACTGGTCCTGCATTGAACCTAACTAGAGACCTGAGGTCCCTCCGGGCCTGACTGACTCTGATTTTTCAGTTAAATTTCAGTGATGAATTTTTCATGTTCTGTTTGCGTGTCAGCTTGTAATGTGTGGTGCCACTCTTCCTCTATTGCTGTTCATGATGTAGTTTAGCAGGCCTCTTGTAAACTGGTTTTATAATGGTTTTAGACTTCACAGAAGAAGCAGTAGTTGAATATTATAAGCCATAAACTTGTGCCTGGTATGTATCCAAAAGTCAGAACACTGTTTTAGCTCTGACTTGCAGGCTCTGGAGGAGGGACAGAGATGTTCAGCATTGTGACTGTGTGACATTTTGGGGGTGGAAAGAAGTAACTCTGCTTTCCTGTCAGCTTAATTCAATTTAGTATGCAGGGCTTTTTATTTAGGCAGAACCTTTTTGCTGTCTGTGGTGCAATGGTTGACTTTGCTTTGTGAGCTGGTATTGCCTGTTTGCAGGCTAGAGCTTGCAGAAAGCAGATGCCTGTTACCAGTTCTCATTTTGCTGTTTCGATGGTTGAAGTGCTAAATGTTTGGTGGAACATCCTGGGGCAAGGTTTTCCACTGAAGTAAACAGGACTAAGGTTTTGCAGATATGGCTGTCCTAGACCTTGCCAGTCTGACTCCTCCTAGTAGATATATGATGAACCACGAAATACAACTATGGCCACTTCAAACCATATTTGAACACCCCAGGTCTATTATCTTTGATTATCTGAAGGAATTTTTCTGTCTTTATGACTTCTTTAATTCTCTGTAGGTTTCCAGGGATGGGGAGACCTCTTGGGAAAAGACAGAGATACACCATATAATGGTAGCAAGCTTATAATGCAAATCTGATAACAGACATTCAGAGCAGTAGGATTAGTTCATCTTGATCCTCTGATACATAATCACAAGTGAAAGTAAATTTTTCTCCCTTTGGTGAAACCCTGTGGGAGCATGTTCATGAAGCAAAGCTTTGCATTTCTATATAAACAACAGTGAAACTCAGCATGATGCAAAAAATTCCTTTTAAATATTCTTTGGGTTGATAGTGATGCATTTAGCAAAGTAATTGCAGTGGCTTCAAATACTTACGAATTTGAGAACCTTTCCAGAAATAAAATGCTTTAGAAATCCCGTGAACAAAAGCTAAAATTTGTCCAAGAAATAAAAATAAACTTTGTAGTGCTGCCAGAATAAATACTGCTGAAGCATCACAAATTGATTTCCTCTAAACAGTAAAGAAAAATGCATGCTATTTGTTGCCTTACCATGATAGGCATTCCTGTATTTTTTCACTTTGGCCTCTCTTGCAGCAGTTACCCACAGAATGTTACCATTACATGTTGCCTATTTGATGTGCTCTCTTGGTTAAGCTGAACATATAATTCACTGAGAATGTATAATTGCATTGATATTTTCTTATGCCTTTCAAAGGCATGAAAACTGAAATGTAGTTAATAATTATGCACATGTGTGTTTCTCTTTTAGTGGAGGCGATAGTGGAGTTCGACTACAAAGCTCAACATGATGATGAGCTGACGATCACTGTAGGTGACATAATCACCAACATCAAGAAAGATGATGGAGGCTGGTGGGAAGGACAGCTCAAAGGCAGAAGAGGTTTGTTCCCTGACAACTTTGTAAGAGTGAGTACAAAGTGGAACTGTTCTTGTGTTGTGTGTATAAGTTTTATGTACTGTGCTGTTCAGGGTAAATATCTGCCTTTATATCATGATATTTCTTATATCCAAAACCATAATAGATTGCATATACACATATATTGCATATATACAGTACATTGCATAGATACATTACAATGTTCTATTGAGGCAGTGCTACAAAGAAAAGATTACTTTCTTTGCAAACACAATGTAGTTTTGATATGCTGAAAATAAAAGAAACTACCCCTACATTTCTTTGCTGTTCAGTGATTATGTTTGACTTAGTGAGAACAAAGTGGTTATTCTAGAACAACTTACATGTCACTGCATTTGAAATATTTTCTCTTCTCTGTAACTGCTTCTGCTTCTCTGGAACACTTTCTTAGGTTTTATAGAAGCTTTTTTTGTGAATATTTATTCCTGGCTAAACTAGTTGAGAATAATTAAAGTGGATTTTTCCATACAGTTGCCTATAAAAAACTTTTCAAGAAATCATTACTTTGTATTTTGTGTAATGTTCCATATAGCTTGCAGTAATTCTGGTTTTAGGAAAGCCATTCAGAGTTTTAGAAACATCTCTTTTTTTTCTTTTTTTTTTTTTACTGGCATCTGTGTGCACACATATGTCTGCACATAAGAGGCCAGCTATTAGTACCTCTGGGCCTCCTTGATTTGTCATTGCAGACCTAGGCTGTTAGTTTCTATAAAACTCTATAAACTTGGCTCTCCATTATGAAAAAGAGAGCCAGAACTACAATAAATTACATAAATAGATTTTATGTTAATCTTTTACAACAGCTTCAGAGGATCTTTGGTACTTTCCCTTTTCTAAGGGTATAAGTGTCTTTTTTCTTTTTCTTCTTCTAACTGTGCAAGCCTGTTGTATGTTTAGACATATGCACATAATGAAGTAATTTCATTTTGCTTCAATAGCACTGCATATGTCGAGGTAATTTGGGAAAGTGGTCTGGTGGCAAACGTAGCCAGCCCATAGCGGGGGGTGTGGGGGTGGACACAGGAGCCTCAGGTGTTTCTGTGGGGACAAACATACTCACATCCTAATCCTTGCTCCTGTCATTGCCAAGAAGAACGAACAGCTCTGTGTCTGTCAGGCCGCAAAGATTAGGAGGAAATAGCAGCCTCAGTGAGATGAAAGGGAGTGGAGGAGGAAAATGGATACCCTGTTTCTTGTTAATCTCTGAAAATCCACACTTTGGGGTAGGGGGAAGAAACTATTTTGGTTCTCATTATGTGTTGGTAATATTTTTCTGCTTGAACTCTAATGAACTGTGAAGTTCTGTGGGACAAATGTAGGCTTCCTCTAAGCTTTCTCCTGGCTGAATCTGCTACTGATTTTAGGAGGTGCTGGATTTAGTGTTCTAAACAAATGTGGCCTCTGAATTTCTGTTATGGAAATATAATCTAAATATGAATATTTGCAAGTTCTCCCCCTTAGTACCTCATTTTTAAGGCCTCTTATTTCTAAAATGACTTCAAACTGTGGCATCCTGTCGCATAATTAAAATATAAATAGCTTTTTCTCAATAGAAAGTTCTAAAACAACAGTAAATGGTTTAGATTTTCACAAAATCACAAAATACACTGAATTGGAAGGGACCCATAAGGATCACCGAGTCCAACTCCTAGCTCTGCACCCATTCTCATAAAATATTACTCCCTGCTCTTTCCTTCCTTCCCTCCTTTTCCTTTTTTTTTTATTAGTCAGCATCCAAGACTGTCTTCTAAAAAACTAAAAACCACTTTGTGTTCAAGCTGAGACTGAGGAAGAATTTAAAGTCAAATACATTTTTCATAGTTGAACATTTCCTCTCTAAATTAGGTAACATGGAGTGGAAGATAAAAATTTACCAAAAGTGTAGTTAGTTTCTGAATCTCTTGAGTGAAAACCTTTATGTTTCTTCAGTTTTTCCTGTGTAAATCTCCTTGTATCTGGAGAGCTATAGTCAAACAAAACAGCCGTCCTATTGGAAAGCTGGTTGAGTGTGATCATTCTGCCCGGTAAGATTATAAGTAATTGTGAACTTTCTCTTTTGTTTTTGGAAAATTTTTGACCCAGTGTATGCAGAGTGGAGCTCACCAGCAACCAGTTCATGCCCCCTTGCCAACGTATGTGTCAACAAGGTAATTAAGAGGCAGGCAAAAAGGGATGCTACAGATGAGTGGTGGACTTGAATGCAACTCCAAATTCCCATTGCTTGTCGGAGTTGGTTCTAAGAGTAGTTGAGAAAGTTACTCGAAGGTAAAAACTATTCATGAAATTCTTGAGGTACTTTGCATTCTACCTTCAAGTGGTGGGAATAATTTCTTATGGAAAAGCACTTTTCCTTCCTGTGATTTTATTTCCTTTCATGATGACATTCCAAATAAACTGTTGGGGTTTGCAAAAATTGAATGTTTGGCTGAAATGAAACCATGGGATTAACATGGTAAGGAGTCCTGAATGGTCTCTGTTAGCATTTGAGCACAGATTATGGAGGTGCAGTTTGGAAGAAAAGATATGGAAATCAGAAATGAAAAAAATTAGGGAAATGCAGTATATTGAAATGTTTATGAAAAGACAAAAATGTAAAGTGTTACTTAAGCAAATAAAACCCCCCATATTTTTCAAGGGAGTAGTAGGTCATGAATGTGGAAAAGACTTTTGGAGTTGCCTGTAGAAAAAGTGGTTTTAAATTTCTTGGAAAAAATGCAAATTAGGAGTACACTGAAGTGGAGTTGTTTGAAGACAGATGTGAGAAAGAAAAGTAAAGGGGAGGTAGCAATAATATGTATGCAGTACATGTGCAGTAATTTTTTTTTCAAGGGACTTTCACTATGAAGTTGTATCAGAGGTGCTTCCTGTTCTTGAATCTGCAAAACAACTGCTCTGAATTTTTTGTATACAGCCGCGAGAAAAAGAGATTCATACCCTTCTTATGCTCTGCAATTCAGTATGCAAGGCGTAACAGAAAAGGTATTTGAAATTTATTTTCTGTTTTCATTGCTGAGTAGTCTGGGACTGTGGTCACTTGGAAGATTTTGTGGAAGAAGTTCATCTAAATATGAGAAAAAATCTTTGGTCTCTCTTTAAGATCTGACTTACCTTTGTCCATCTTTGAAGATACCTACTTTTATTAGAGTTACTGGTGCTGAATATGTAAGAAATGTATGAAGGTGTATCTGGTTGTTGTCTTTTTCTGTTTTCTTTCAATTTTTCAGGTAGAGAAATAGAAGTATGAGTGGAGAATTATGTATTGTTCCTGGCTGTCTGTTTTACTTCTCAGTTAAGCAGCTGAAAAAGAGGAGGTAGCAGGTGATTGCAGTGTTGTTCATTTACACGGTATAAAGTTGGTTTTCAATATCTTTCTGTTTTGAAAACTTTAACTTGAAATCCATACTCTGCACTGCAAAACTGTGTTTGTAAGTGTGACAGTGTCTGAGACAGATTTTGCTGATAGCAAATGAAGATGCAGAAAGCAGGAAACTGGTGCAGAGCCATGCTTGCTGGCTTTAATTTTCAAAGCGAATTCTATGTGGGATTGAATAGTGTTATACTGGTAAACTGAATTTCTGCATGTGACAACCTTAAAGCTTGTCTGTACTCCAGAGAGCTTGCCAATATTGTTAGCAGAACTGGGGGTAAATTTATTTTAAGTAAGAAGTTTAATGGTAGTTGTTTTTGCAATTCTGGTGTATAGCTTGTGTTTTAGAATCAATGCAACAGGATAGGGAGTTTGTGTAGCTGTACTGCTGGCTCGGGTCAGAACAGCAACCTGGATTTCTTGTTATGCAAGCAGAATACAATCTTTAAATAGTGCATGTTAGTTGTAGGATGTCACGGATGTTGATGCTGTTGATAAGTACATGGTGAGATCCTTATCTGTTACTTGTCATTTAATTTTTTTCTCTGTGTTTTGTTTGTTTGATTTTAATTTCCACAACCATCCAAAGGTTGCAGGGGACTGTGAGTGATTCCTTGCTGAGACCCCTGTGCTTGTTACACATCCCTATCCATCCCTGTTAGTGCTTTCATAAAACCTTTCATAAGACTGGTCCTGTGCACATGCAGGGGCCCTTTGCAGCCATAGTTTGGCTCCTGGGAGGGAAAAGAGAATATTCCCCATATCCCAGAACACTTTGGTTCCTGCAGTGCTTTCTGCTTCCCTGGCCCTTCAGCTGCTGTTTGGTACCTGTCAGGTCAGAGAAGCAGCCAACTCCTGTTGGTCAGAGAAGCACCCAACTTCCCTCCTGCTTAGCCAGTAACTTTTGCACTCTCTGACACCTCTGTGACTTCCTGCTTTTGCTTTGGGGCTGTAGGTTCGTATTGCCTTCACTGCTCCCCTCAGTACTTGGAATACTGTTAATTAAGTGATGTCTGTGTCAGCTTTGCCCAAGTAGCCGCTTGTCGCAGTTCGATTCACTTAAGAGTTGGACTCAATGGTCCTTGTGGGTCCCTTCCAACCCACAATATTTTGTGATTCTGTGAAAGTTATGACATCAGTGGAGGCGCTGAGGTTGTATGTAGACTGGGGAAAGCAGTGTTATTTCTGTCCATACCTGAAAAGATAACTTGCTTTATGATTCAGTGAATGGTTATGTTGGGCTTTTTGGTTTGATTTTGTTCTTTTTTATGCATACTTGCCAGGAATTTGCAATTCAGTTACTGAACTTCTTGTGTGTGTGTGTGTGTGTGTGTGTGTGTTGGAAATCTTACTAGAATACTGTCTATGTATTCGTTTTAAGGAAATGTTTTAGATTGTAGCATCCTAACTGTTAGGTTGTCTTGGGAATAAAAGCCAGGACTGCTAGTTTCTTATTCCAAGTTCTGGGTATGGCCATGAAACTTGTTATCCTTACAGTGAAATGTAAGAGAATATAATTAGTGAAAGAAACTCAGATTGGTTCCATCATGTGAAAATGTTGCCTCTTTGAGCTTTTGTTTCTGTCAACAGCAATTAAGATTTTGTGGGGAGAAACATAACATC